GTTGACTTCCTGGCCACGTTCAGATTAATTAAAACCGTTACGCTGTATTTATCAACCAAATGATGTCTTGTATCTTGAGGCAGCCATGAGCCTATTCCTTTCCAGGGAACAATATTCCCTATTAAGCTATTAAATAGATTTCTCCCATTTAGTTCTCCTTGACCTGGAGGGCAGAGGAGAGGAGTGGCTGATGGTAGGTGCCTCACTGCTGCCAGGGCTGGAAGCATGACCTCAGGCATAGTGCAAGGCCTGCAGGGGGTGTTGAGTTGGGCTTGTGAGGAGCCTTTGCTGAGTTCATGGTTCTGTTAAAGCTCTATTTTATGTTGGAACAGGCTGTGCTGGCTGGTGTTCAGCAGGAATTTCTGCCACCAATAATAGCTGGTTTGTTTGTTAAGATCTGAATATGATGATAGTGCCCAAAGAGTGTCTGTTAAAGTAAATGAAAGATTGCTTTTTGGCTTTTGGGGACCTCGGGTTGAGCCTGTAGCTAGTCCATGGAGGAATGAATTGCTGTTTTGGATGACTTCGATTACCAGCTTTCTGTGTGTGCTGTTTTTATCCTAACTCAGACATTACAGTCTCTGAGAAGGGGAGAGCCACACTCTATCTGAATAACACCTAGCAAAGACCTGTTCCCAAATGAATTTCCCAGGGCTATTTAATGAAGAACAGCAATGAACTGAACTCATTTTATAAGCAAATACTGCTTTGGCTGCATGGACTAACTGTGTGGTAGAACTGGTTCAAACAAAAACAGTTGCTTGGAGGAACTCTTTTTACCGGCTCAGGGGCTGTAGAGTAACCCAGGGTACACATTTCTCAACAAAAAACAGGCCAGAGAAAATTCAGTTTCTTGCCTGCTTCTCTCATCTGCCGGTCTCTGCAAGGATACTCCTGAATAATGCATCGATAGCTTGTTTTAGAGACTTGGTGAATCTAATGAAAATACTATCTCCAGAAAGATTCAGGAATGCAGTGTATACTACTGTGTTACTAATGCTTCACACGATTTTCCAGACTAGAGTAGTTTGCTTGCTTTCATGCAATCACTCTTTATTATTTAAATGATGAATCTGGAGAATTTCCCAGATCTAATGTCTGCCCCATTACTTTCTGTCTTGGATACTGCAGATAATCAGATGAGCAGTAAATCTATTCTGTGGAATAGAATTACATTGTCTTTTTTTTTCCTGTCAAACAACTTGTGAATGATTTTTCTTTTCTTCACCCTCATAAAATACCTAATAGATCAAAAAAAGTAAAATCTGTATGCCAAATACACAGTATTCCACATGTACCTCCAGTGATGCATCTACAGAGACACCAGTGGGAGTGTATTTATCTTGGGTAGACGGGGAAGATTGTGTGAAATAACCCAAGGCATGGATACTTTTGTTGGGTGGATAGAAGGAGATGCTGTGGTGTGTTTTTGGCTTGTTGGTTGGATGTTTTGGTTGGTTTTTTTGGTTTGTGGTTTTGGCGGGTTTTTTCATTGTTTGTTTGTTTGGGGCTTTTTAGCCTGGTTTGATTGTGCAGCTTCTCCATCCTCTCTGTTTCTGAATCTTTCCTGAATTTATCTGAAAGGAGACCACCCTGTTGAGCGGTGAGGGAACATTTGTCAGTGGTCTCGGATGTTACTGTCTGACGAGCAGGTGTTGGGGTCTCTGGCTCTCCAACGGCAATGCCACGCGGTGCTGAGGCTGGCTGGGCAGTGGGTGAAAAGGCACAGGGGATGCACCCACTGCCATGCCGGACGCCACTGTGTAGTTCTCCAGCTGTCCCAGTCATTCCCGATGAAGTGATGGTGACGCAGCCTTTGGAAGAGAGAAAATAGGGAGGAAACCCACCCCCAGGAATGACCAGCTTGATTCTGAACCTCTGCATCAAGTGTGAATTACACCTCTTTCCTTCAAAACAGGAGGCGTTTTTTTTTTTTTTTTTTTTTTTTTTTTTTGTGGTGATGAGAAACTAAAGGTCAGGAATGAGTCCCCTAAAGGCTCATGAAGAACAAAATACGATGTGTTTTAACTGACGTGAAATGTTAATGGGGAAGATCAACATCCAAAGGCTGCAGCTAAGGAAAGGGGGCTTATTTGGGCAGAGCCCGAAGCAAAGCGTGGGCATTACAGTGAATGGGAAGTGTGAAACTGTGGGGCAGAGAACACACAGCCCTTTAGCCCTGCTTAAAAATAATAGTGCAGGCTTTTTTTAACTTCAGAGTTTAGTCTGCCCTCAGTAAAAACAAGTTACATTAAAAAACTGTGCACCAAAAAAAGCAAACCTCTTTTTCCTGGTTTCTGCTTATAAGATTTACAGGTACTTAAAATAAACCTATGAAAAACAGACCTAGTGTGCTGGAATTTGCTAACTAGTGAGAGCAATTACCTCCAGGTCCCAAGACCTAACGGAGCTTGACTTTTTGGAAATAAAACTTGGCAAGCGCTTCTTCCTGCTGCTGTTGTAAAGGTGTACATGAAAAGATGTGCTGACCTCTGCCAGAAACCCCAGGAATCCAGTTCAGAGAGATTCTCCTGCTAAGGGCACAGCTGGATTCAAGCAGCACAGATGGGGATCGGTGTGGAAGAGCTGGCGAAACATTCACTTCTCATTGTGTGGCTTCAGCGTGGCAGATTCTTTGCAATTGCCTGGTGTACCACAGTAATTAAATGGGTCAAGAGCAGTAAGTTTAGATACTTAACAAGAAAATAAAGACCTCGCTTGACAGCCAGCAGCGTGTCCTGCTTGTTTCACAGGAGTAAGGAGAATTAACGCAGGTTGCCGTAGTAAAAGTTGATTTGAGCCTTTTTGGCAATGATTTGTATTGCTTCAGAGATCACATACCAATTAACTGTAAATGCTGTAATCGCTGTAAATCAGGCCCTCTTATGAAACTAATGCCCCAATTTCAGATGACCTAAAAAAAGGGAAACCATAGACTCTGCCTCTCCTTTTAGGGATATGTAAGTAACAAAATATAAGAAAAAGAATGAAAAACACACAATTAACTTCTGTTAATATAGAAATGTAAAGTAATCCCCTGTTTTCTCTGGACTGTTCTATGCACAAGTGGAAAATGAAGTTTATGCGATGAGATAAACATGACAGAAGCGAAATCTGAGATGGGAACTGATTTTTATAAGACTCTTCACTTTAGAGGGTGGAGGTAGTTTCACAGTGATATTTTGAAGGAAATTATTTGTTGCCGGTATCCCTTCATCATTCCTGGCCGGGCGAAGGAGCTCCAGTTTCCCACAGCAGTTGTAAAAGGCCTTTGGGAAGGATGAGATTTTTGTTTTAAAATATTAAGGGATGAGTAATAGGAATATTTTTTTTAAAAAAAAATCTATTAAATGCATTCTCCCACAAAACAGGAGCTCTCGGCAGACCATCTTCCCTTGCAAATTAGTGACTGGACCAGCTTTGCTGCTGTGTTTGTTTACTCCAAAAAGAATCTACAGTATTAAAGGGGTTTATGCCTGTGCTGATGGGAGCCAGTGTCCAGCAGTGAGGACCGGACTCCCATCGGAAGGTGGTACAAAGCAGCAGAGCTCACCTCAGCGTAGCCACAGGAGGCAAATTCAGTCTCTCAGCTTCAGCGTCTCACCAGCAATCACTCAGAAATGTTGCTCATGTCTGTTCATTGTGGTTATTAGGTGCAAGAAATACAGTTTTAAAAACTGTAATTAATCATTTCTAAGTAACCTCTTTTTCTACACATTTATGGCATCAATGGGTATGACTATTTATTATGTCTTACCTATAAAATCTGACCTGTTTTATATACTCTTTATGGAAACAGTGTACAGTCATAAATTAAAAGATGCAACTGTTTTGGATATTTTACTGGTGGTCCTGTATTTTCTTGCCAAAAGTGCAGCTGTTTTAGGTTTCTCGGGATAACATTATAAAAGGCTGTATGCGTTTTGCAAGTTTATGCTTGAATTGCCAAGCCAGAGGTGGAATGACTCAACCTTCCCAGGAGCAACATGTACCAAGTGATGAATCAAAACAGCTAGCTGAAGCTCAGTGGCTTACACGGCCACGGTAAAAGCAGTTCTCATTTATGGTATTTTACCTGGTGTTCATAATTTGAGATGGGCATTGTGCTGAGTGTGCTAGGCTGCAGCCTGCGTCCGTCTTTGTATTTGGTGAGGTTTTGGTGCAAAACTAGCTAGGAGTCTGGTCTTGTATCTGTCCTATGTGGGTGCAAGAGCTATAGGGTTACAGCACTGAATGAAAGCATTCAAGCCCCCTGAGCAGACACCTTTAATGGGAGCTCTTGGCATGCACAGCTGGGTTTGAGCCCTTGGAAAGAGCTAAGGGGAGCCAAGAGCTTGCAGCAGTGCCAGCGTGGGTAGTGTGTTTCAGTGTCAGTTCATCTGCCTGGCTGGTTTGGTGTAAAATTAGATGGCTCTGCAAATGGGTGATGATGCTTAATTAATGGTGAAGTTTAGAGGCTTCTTTAGCCAAAATGTTGATAACAGACTCCTACAGATCTGATTCCCCGTCAGCAGACTTAGTCCGCATACTGATAGGCCCAAGAGCAGAAAGTTCAGCCCTGCTGTCATCAGAGGATGAGCGCCCAGCATTAACGGAATGGAGCTGAAGCCCCCCGATTCCTGTGGGAGTGCAGGACAGCTTGGGAGGGGTCGTTGTCCTCATCATCTTGGAAGGAACTAGTGAAGGGGGGAAATGCAGCCCTTCCCCCAGAGCGAGCACAGAAAACACAAACCAGTGAGTGTGCTTAACCCTGTGCAGCCTGTTGCAGAGCGCCAAGGATTTTCAGCGCGCTGGCTGGGCAGCTTCTCTGAAGGTGCATCAGCATCGTCAGTGTGTAACTGATGGAAGTTTCATGCTGACACGTTCAGAGGTGGCCAGCAGCAGGCAGCTTGCGTCTCCTTGCTTACTCCCAAAAAGCAGCTTCAACCTCACTGCACTGTGAACTATGCAGGTGTTTGTGTTTATTTCTGCTCTAAAATAATGCTTGTCTCTTTTTTTAGGTATCTCAAACATGTACGAGCCGCCTCTCTGCAGGATATTGCTGGGGGCTACACTTCTTCCCTTGCTTGTTACCGAGCCTTACAGGATGCTTTCAGTGGTCTATTCTGGCACCCCAGTTAGCCAGCGTGCATCAGCCTGTGATCAAGGGACACCAAAGGGAGTGAGAAGCAAATCACGCCAACAAAGGTTGGGTAAAATTGCTGCCATCTGCACAACGGCTAAGCTGCAGTCACCTTCTTGTGTAAAACCAGGTGTGTTTAAGTGTTAAAGGGGAGAAAAAAAAAAGCCTGCACGAGAGCTTTGTAAAATGGTAGATACATTTTTGTGGAGGGGGAAACTTGTTAGTCATGTGGCACTTTGCTGAGGGAGGCTGAAGCAATAAGCCACATCTAATGGAAGATGTGAATAACTCAGCTGTGTATGTTTGAGGTTTAAAGAAATACACTTGTAAATTTTTTTAAATAAAGCCAGACTTTTTTATTAAAGTTTGTGGTTTTACTCTTATTGCAGGGTTTTATTTGCACAAGCATTTAAATGCCATTTTGATTATAACATTTAGTGTCAATATTGAAGCCTACATTCTCTTCCCATAAAACTAGTTTCCCCAGTTCAGACAAGTGGGTTTTTCCTCCTGCCAGCTGGATCAGATGAGAAACCTTGGAACTATGCTGACACAACTTTTATGCAGGATTCTTCCTGATGTCACTTGGTTCTTACCTTTGGAAAACAAGCTGAAAATGTTCCAACTGTGTTCCTCTAGAAGCAATCTAAGAAGCCTTGACACAAGGCTAGGTCACTAAAGTAGTCAAAATTGGGTTTGTTTTTTTCCTGTTTAGCTCTGGTGCAACTTTCCTGTCACGTGTTCAGGAGCTTCTTTTGGCAGGAACATCCTTTGTCTGGCTTTTGGGATGACCCTTGCTACTTGATCTGCTGTTTTTATGTATTCCTTCCCCACTACTTGTAGCGGGACGTAGGCTAATTGTAGTGGGCTTCTGTGGCGGGATTGCTCTTTGCCATGAGTGTCTGTAAACTGCAGGAGACCGGAACTGCTCAGGACAGTGAGAGCCTCTAGGGTGAAGCCCGGACCCTGTTTTCTGGGTCATCTGTTAATAGCTGTTGAGTACTGCTCTGAGGAGTGTATTAAATGAATGTATTTTTTCTATACTGTAATAAAGAATAAGTTATATTCCAGACTGGTGCTGCCTTTATTAAGGAAAGGGGAAGGAGGTGCCAAAATTTCCATTGCCCTTTCTCTGAAATCCTGTTTTTTGTGCCCAGAATAGTTGCCAACAGGTAGCGGTTTAGAAAAGATCATAGCCTGTGGGGTACTGCTCCCCACCAGACAGAAAGCCTGTGGTTGGGTGGTGGTGTACTCAGCCATGCAGCGCATGTGAGACTGCTCCTACACATGCACTTGTGGTGTTGTCTTGCCCCGGGCCAGGTGCTGCATTCCTCTGGGGCTCCTTCCTCCCCTCCTCTCAGCTGTAGGGCTTCGAAGTTGACATGTCCTTTACTTATCCACTCCCTTGCTCATGGGAGATGGCTGCCACTGGGCCTGGCTGATCGTTTTCCTAGCAGCCAGAAGCTGTGGGAGTTGGTTCCCTCCGTCACAGATGCCTGACGGCCCGTCTCCTGTTCCCAGGTATGAGGTAGCAGCTGTCCTGGGGTTCAGCTCGGGACCCTGGCTAGGAGTAGCAGCAACTAGGGGCAGTCTGTACTATTCCGGGCTCACCCAGGCTGGTAAGGAGAGACCCCACCGATGATCTGCTTTTTATTCAGTTTGTAAAGTCATTGCCCTCACAAACACAGAACAACGTAGGAATATTAATATGTATCACTGACATACACTCTTGCAACTTTAGGTGTACACCGGCTGTCGTTTGTTGTCTCATGTGGAAGGGGTGTACACAGAAGTGGCAACTGCACAGAAATACGGGCAAACCCTGGTTATGAGTATAGCTACAAGTAATCTATTGACTTGCATCTAAACTAAAGCCATGCTGCTAAAATAACAATGGCATTTAATCCTCAAGTCAACATATCTTTTAACAACTAAAAATCCTTCCCTGCCTTGGGATAGTCACTGCTGAAAATGAAAGTTACGTAGTTGACTTGCTTAACACAAAAATGGGGATCAAAGCTGGGTTTCTGTGAGGGCAGTAGTGCCAAGAAGCCCTAAATTTGGACTGTGAGGCAGCGCACACAGTCACAGGGAGCTGTGGTGTCTGGCAGTGCAGACATAGATCACAGGGTGGCTGCATTGTTCCAGAAGGACCGAGGGCCTTATCGCGTCAGCGGTGCTGAGGGCGGGCTCTGGCGCGAGAGCAGCTTTTGGATGTCTCTGGGAAGCCACGAGGGCAGCTTGGGAAAGCACAGAATCATAGAATCATCTAGGTTGGGAAAGACCTTTAAGATCATCACATCCAACCATTAACCTACCGCTGCCAAGCCCACCACTAAACCATGTCCCTGAACACCACATCTACATGTCTTTTAAATACCTCCAGGCATGGTGACTCAACCGTTTCCCTGGGCAGCCTGTTCCAATGCTTGACAACCCTTTCGGTGAAGAAATGATTCCTGATACTCAATCTAAACCTCCCCTGGTGCAACTTGAGGCTATTTTCTCACGATCAGAGGCATGACACGGCAGCATGGCAGGCTGGAGGCAAAAGTCCGGCGCTTGCTCCAACTGGTGGGGAGTGGATATGATGTGCCAGTCACCAACAGCAAGGACAAACAGGTTAAAGTTAAAAATACCATTTTAAAGGCCGGCGGAGGAGTGCTCAGGCCAGAGTGGCAGGCCAGGGAAGTAATCTGCACAGCAGCTTTCAAGACAGTGTAAGTGAGTCATGCTGATTTTTTTCCCTAGTTTGATAAATGCAGTCCAGCGGTAACCAAGCTGTGAAGACTTGCTCAAAAGCACTGGCTGCGTAGCCAGGGGAAAGGCTGGAGCACAGAGCCATGGAGCAAAACACATCCATGGACCTTGGCAGTTGTTTGGGCGAGACCCAAGCCATCAGGCTACAGGCCCCAGGGGTGGAGCCGCAGCAGCAGAGCCAGGGAGGGTGACGGCTGCCTGGTAACTGAGCTGCTGGGCCTGAGCACTGAGCCTGCGCCGAGGGAAAATAGCTGAAGCCCGGGGGAGATCCGCGTCCTCTGTCCAAACAAACTACTTGTGGTTGACATTGCCCAACAATAGTTTGGATGGGTAAGAAAAGGAAATCAAAGACAGAGGCTTTTTGAATCCCTGCAGAATACAGGCAGGCAGAGAGATCATCCAGGGCCTGCAGCAGAGGAGCAGGCAGGAGCAGGGGGCGAGCTGGGATGCAGCAGAGGCACAAAAGCCCCAGGAGGACGTGGTTTCAAGACAAGAGGAGTTCAGCCAGGTACTGGTTTCAGTCTAGTGCTTCAACGTGAGCATGTACTTAATCTGTAAACAGCATTAGAGTCTTTCCTGCTTTAATGGTGGCCAAACACTAAGTTAGGAGTCAACTAATCCCTAACTAAATCTCAGTGTTAAAAAGCAAAAAATTTATTACTCAAAGGCCTAGGAACAAGTATATGTGGCTATTTGGGCCATTCTGTATCTTGGTTAAGTTTCTGAAAGGTTATCTTGCTTACACAAGAGCTGTGTGTGCATCTGCTAACAGTAATCTAATATTCTTAAACACCAAACCCATTTGTCAGAGAGAAACTGCTGCAAGGGTTATACAAGTCATCTCGCTAGACCTGAAAAAATATAAAAATCTGGGTTTGCCACAAACTGCACATTATCAAAATGACACAGCAAAAAATGATCCCGCTCTGGGTCCCTACATTATCATAGGGCATGAAACGAGAGCAGAAAAGTACCCAAACACATTTATTACAAAAAAAGCAGAAGTTTTATTTTTTTGTAATAACACCAATCTGCTTATTGATTCCACAACTGAAAGACAGGAAAATGCAGGAAGCAAGGCTCATGGAGGAAAGCTGCTACATACATTACGCATCTCAGCACCTGGGATGGGTAACACAGGTAGGCTTCAAATAATTGGAGGGGTAAACTAGAGGTAACCTAGGTATACCTTACACAAACTACTAAGGTAGTTAACCACAACTTCAGTCTTCAACTCTTCTTCAACTCCACCTTTGCTTCAGAAAAATCTCTGCTGCTACACACACGTTTAGAGGCTGGTATTGCTGGAAGAAGGTTAGAAAAAGTAAGTTATTTCATGCACAGTAAACAGACTGAACTAAACCACAAGCCATGTAACACTTAAAGGATTTAACAGGAAGAGATGAGAGTTAAAATTAGGATTAACAGTCACAAATGAAAACTGTTATAGTAATAATGGGGAGCCTTTATTAAATGCCAAAAAGGACTTTCAAAAAACCTGTACTGAGCTACATTTTGACCTAAATCTCAGTGCTACCCAACAACAACATAAAAGTAAGTTTAATGGCATTCAAGCTTTATCAAAACCTCCATTCCTTCAGTTCATGTAATGCAGACTGAAAGCCTCCCCCCAAAGCCCAAGATCACTGAAACCAACTATCTCCTACAAGTTCTTCAAGAAACAAATGACCAGTTAAACTAAAAAAAAAAAATAAAAATATCCAACATTAAAGATCTCTAAGGATATCTACTTTGCAATTGAATTGTACAGAACCTGATTCTGCTGCTGTAGTGACTCCAGACCTAAACTGTGTCCATGCAAGTGTAGGGAGAAGGCCAGAACTGGGACCAGCCCTGTGGAAGTACACCATTCTACCCCGGGTGAAAAGGGAGCTCCAGTTCTTAAGTATTTAGCAAATAGAAAAGCCTGCTTGGCGTTAAGATACCCCATCCTCCTCCAGCACGCAGTCTAAGGCATAAGGGTTTGGTTTATGGCCTGTGGGATGATCCTCTCCAGTCCACCATTTTTCCTGTGGAGGCTCACGCTGGGATCAGAGAGCGGGAGCACCGCTACCGGGAGCACACGAAGCCCCACAGCTGCTCCACACGTGCAGGCAATCGCTCCTGCCGGCCCACTCCACGCTTGCGCCGGAGCACGGCGTCACTGCCACACGGCTGGGGTGGCCCACAGGGCCAGCAAGGTGGGACCAGCCTGGGACAGCAAAAGGTGTAGCCTGAAATCCAAGTGCCACATAGGTTCCTTACCTCCGTCAGGACAGGGCCTCTTGTACAGCACCTCTGCTGGAATCTGGAAACTAATGCACAGCATCTCCTTGTTCGGGGCAACGTTTCTAACCAGGTAAGTAGAACAGCGGCCGTCCAAGGAGGTTCCCAGAGAAGCCTCAGCGCGTTCTCGAACATCTTTGGCAGGGTCGTCATGTTTGGAGAAGCTGTAGCAGTGCACCGTGGGAAGGCCAGCAGTGCTGCATGGCTCTCCGGCTAAGAGATGCCGGAAAACGTCTAGAAATTCAATAGCCAAGGCTGGCAAATTCATGACTATATGAAAAGAGGTTTTCTGTTCTTCTTTCAGAAGTGGGAGCTCTCTACTTAGTTCTTCTCTTACTGGCCCCAGGAGGAAGTCCCTGCCATCCATGTTGAATGCTTTTATTTTGTGGCCTACCTTGTTTAGTTTGCAGTTGTGCAAGAGCCAGCTGTAGGATTCAGGATTGAGATCGTTTGCAAACACGCAGCACTTTTTCTTTGCTGCTGGAATAGCAAAAGGTCCAATCCCAGCAAAGACATCGAAAAGGACATCACCGGGCTTTAATAGCTCAACGATACGGCCATGTTCCGTGGAAAGACGTGGGTTCCAGTAGACTTTAGAAAAGTCCAACTCATATGTGATATTATTTTCTTTGACCTGAAAGTCCAAAACATTTTCTTAAGCCTCTGTGTTCAAATTCCAGGCATGTTTAAGCATTATGAGTAATTAAGACAGCTAAAAACCACGCTGTTTTATCAAAAGATAATGTGTACACTGACATTCATCTCATTAGTAGTACACATCAATCTTGCATAAACAGATCTACTCATCAGAAATAGCCATAAGGAATGTTCCAACTGTCAGTCCAGATGGCTGGCTCATGCACGTCTCAATCACCAGGTGGAAATAAAGCAGCAACTTAAAATGACCATAAAAAAAAAATAATCTGAGGCTTTTCAAGAGTTTTGTGGCTGGCTGACAATGCCTTTATTGAAAGCAGACCTTGGGAAGATGCCTCAAGCCCTCCTTAGCGGAGTCCACATAGTAAATAAGCATCTGAGAATGATACAGCACAAGAATGGCAAGAGTCAGCCAAATTCAAAGCCACTGGGAGCCAATTCTGCAGTTTGAAAAAATACTGTATTTTCTCTCTCAAGGTGACAGAGTCTGGAAACTGATCCAAACCCAAACTCTGGGATGACCACTATCTTAAGAAAAGACCTAAAATGAAATGGTATTTACTGAGATGACAATGGGATGCAAGATAACACTCACTTTGCACCACCAGACTTGAATTGTGTGACTGAAGTACGGTAACTTTGGATCTAAATGCATCATTTGCTTTGCCAGCAAGAAACATACTGAAGTGTATCTGTGCTCCTCAGTGTGCAGCTCAGTGCTACGCTAGATGGATGCTCCATGAGCTAATATCACCTGCATAATTTTTGATTGTCACTTCTTCCTTGACAATTCAAATGCCTTCTCTGTGCATGTACAGGATGTTATACCAAGCTATTCAACTTTTTTATTTAGTAATCTAACGTTTTCTCTTCTAAAAGTATAACTGCTAATACCTAGGAAAAATATTTTTTGGTTGAACCAGTGGCCAAGTTTCCAGCTAAATACAAGAAACCCTACATGAATAATACTTGGCAGTTACACAGTGCTTTACACCTGAAAAATGTCAAAATAGAGGACAGATGAGGTTTGTCTTGCTGCTGATGGAAAAGGAAAGAGGCACAGGCAAAATCTTGCCTAAGTTGCAAAGCCAGTGAGATTTAAAAACACAGTCTTACGTTCTATACCAACCACTGCAGGTTTGATGAAATTAAGTAACAGCATTTTCTTAGATCAAATTCACTAAACATTCTGGCTTTAGAGTAAGAAACACTCCCCACTGCAAGTCTGCAACTGGTATCTCTGTAAGAAATCTTTACTTCACCTTTTTTTACATATCATTAAAATCTAGGCTGTGAACTTTAAAGAATACTTATGTTCATGATCCCTATGGATGTGAGTTTGCTCTTGGCAGACCAGGACAGATGAATGTAGAAGTAACTGCCAACTCTTACACTCTAAAAAAGGGCACTGTGCAAAGGGATGGTCTTAAGAGCATCTCTTCATCACATATTTCCAGTAGGTGCCTTTGGGTTTAGCATATTAAAATTAAAATAACAGGGGAAAAAAACCCTATACCTTGGTTACTAGGTTGCTCTCTCCAGCGAGCACTTCCATTTGAAAATTTCTGTATGTGCTGTCAATAATATTGGTTTTATTCACTACACAGGTGATTCCTGGATTCTTGTCAATTATAACCTGACCTGAAAGAGAGGGCAAAACATTCTGGTTAAGGGAATATAACTTTTCAATGTTCTACAAGAGATACAAACACTGCTGTTTACAGTTAAATTAACTAAGTACGCATTACCAGAACAACCTCCCTCTAATGACTCAGGGTTGGAGATGTGACATCTTCCTAAGGCACATACTGTACCCTGGCCCAATGTTCAGTGAAATGAGACCACAGTTACTGTAAGAGGAGAGAACTGTGCTTCCATGCACAGCTATAGTACCAGCACAGACTGTTTAAAGTCAACATATAAAGCAATGAAAAGCACTCCAAAAGTTTTCTTTGTACAAGTAATAATTTATCAGTAGATAACTGTTTAAAAAAAAATCTATATAGAAAACATAGGTATTACTTTTTTGAGAGTTGTTTTACCTACCAATCAAATGTCTGTACGGTAGCTGATGATCTCTAAGATTCAAATGAGCTATGTGACCAACACGGCTAAATCCAGAGGTGACTTCTTGACCTTCAGGAAGAACTGCTCGTAGGATCTCCTCCGACTTGAAATTCTCGTAAGTCAGCTCCAAGTTATACTTAGACACCTCAGGATGAACATTAAGCTGTTTTAATACCTCTTGATCCGATTCTCCCAATGAGAATTCTGATATTTTATGAGGATCCAGAATAACAAGTCTACTGTCCTCATCTTCTGGATCCTCAACCACTCGCTTTAGACCAGGGCGCTGTAGTATCATATGTTTTATGGACTTCAGCAAAGTATTTACAATTTCTTTCTTGACTTTAAGAACTGGAACAACAACTGTCCTTTTAAAAGCCTCTCTGTTGAGTTGTGTCATCCCACGCACTTCAGGATGTGGCAAATACAGTTCTAGATTAGCTTTATCCTCCACAGTTTCAGGCATCGTAAAAAAGTTATTTTTTTTAACTACTACAAACAGCCCAGGTACTCTGCCAGAATATTGTGCCAATAGCATCCAAACTGCTGGAAATGATGTATTTGATGCAGCTGTCCTAAAACGGTTAGTTTTCAGTAGTCTGGCAGAGTATCCAATTCTCCATAAAGTCCTAGAAGAGAAATTATTCATTTTATAGACATTATGTAATCATTCCATTAAAAATGCTGCAAATCACATGGATTTGCTGTTCTCTTAAACTAGAATTTCCATCTATACCAAACAATTCACAATAGCTTAGTAAAGCTCTTTATTATGAATTATATACTATAAATTTATGTCATTTTTCAAATGTATTGTTAGACTGAAATGTTAACTAACTTTAAGCAGTGTGATAATCCCTTCCTGCCAAAAACCAATGACCTTTCTGCTCTAATAAATATGATATTAATCTCAATAAGCCAAATGGAAAAATACCTACTGTCTCAATCCTACTGTTGGATCCCTTCTGATTCTGATAAAATTCATTACCAAGCAGTGGTTGCTAGAAAACAGTTATTAGCAATAGCAGTCATAATCATGCTTCAGCAATTTCTGCCTCCTATACCCCAGTAAGGGGTTACAGAGTCTGTAGTGTCTTTGCTCTGCAAGCTGCATGCCAGAAAGACCGTGAATTAAATGCTGAATTCCCCTAAAGGTACAGGGGACCATTAGTAATGTCTGTTCAAGAGAATGAACCCCTCTCCACAGTTTACTCACAGGATGGGGACTTGAAAAGTAGTTTTACACTTCTTTAAATAGCTTCCTCTGCTAGAGCCAGTCCAGAGGCCCAACTTTTCTGACTCTGCATCAGCTGCTCCTAGGCAGGAAGGTTTAGGTAGTGCAAGAGGCTGACATTTCTCCTGACTTCTTGGGTAGTTTGTTTTAAGATAGGGAGTTGATAGGAGAGATGCAAACTAGCTCTGAAGGGAAACCGGTTCTCTCACCTGCCTCAGACATCTACACCCTGACATGCAGTCTATTCTTCAAAAACGGAGCTGCGACCTTAGCAAAGCTGGCCCTGCTCCCATCCTCCCTCCCTACAACCCAGCCCCTCGCTGGGACTCCCTACATCTTCAAGCCAGCTCATTTCCCTAAACCAAGTTTTTGGCAAAGCACACGTCCCTTCCCTGTTGACTCAAAAATAAACATTTACATTCTTCATGTCTGCTACAGAGGAGAAAGGCTTCATCCAGAGGCCTGAGCGTCCCAGTGTTTTTCTTAGGCATTGCCCTTCTCCCTTGCTAGAAACTGCTGGCCTGGTTTGCACGGGCTCCTCGATGTGAGATCAGCCTCCAAGATAAAAGCCCCGGCGCTGGGCCTGGCCGGAGGTGCCTGCAGCCGTGCTGCCGCAGGACCGACGCCTTCCCAACACCCCTGTGGGAACACCTGCCCTTTCCCCGGGAGCAAGGTCCCGCCAAGATCCCCCCTTTGCCCCATTCTTCCCTCCGAGCGATGAGGCGAATCGGGGCCGGGCGGTGCTGCGGGAGGGCTGCGACCCACCCCGCCCGGCCCCAGCTCCACGAGTGAGCAGCCCCGGGCACAGAGACCCCGGGGGCGGGGCGGGGAGGCGGCGGCCGG